ATAAAGTGAATCAAATCATCCGTTGACATTGAATTATAAAAACTGACCAAGGAACTCTCATGAGAAACGTGCATATCTAATAAAATGTTGTATATAAATATTGGATGTGAGGGTTCCGAAGTTAGTCTGGTCTGGGGCTACTCTTGACTTGACAAGAGCTCGTCGTAATGGTCATTATAATGTAAGTTGTTATTAGGTCTTTATATTCATTGTTGATTATTCATATTTGTCATCACTTCACCCATAATGTTTCATGCTATAATAAATATTGTTTTGTTTGAATATATTCTCATACTCTCAGTTACCCCTAAACTATTAGTGCCTATTTTGAATATTTGAGTATTACCTCTCGCAAAATATTAAGCCAAGCAAACCCCTTATCAATCGATATGGGTGGAAACAACCCTTTTATCGAGACATGGTGGAAACACAACTCTTTTGTTGTGACATGGTGGAGGCGCCTAAGCTTCTTTCCTTGAGTCTCATTCCTCATAATGGACTCATCAATTTTTTTTTGCATTCATCGATTTATGTCAATTTTATATTTCATACAAAGGCACTAGTAAAAAGGGTTATTTGAAAGTAATTAAGTATAGCAGCATGAATTATGGGTGATAACAAAGTGAGAAAGTCATTTAAATTAGAAATCCTTAATTTTTTCAATATTTTAAATACCATTTAGCTTGAGAAGTTGAATAACAAGCATTCCATTTCTATTCAAAGACATGATATAAAGCACCGGACCAGACTAACAAAGTTTGGAGCTTAACTCTGAACTTTGTTATTTTTTGTTCTCTACTCGTAATTTTCTATTTGAATTTGGGAACAAGTTCTTCCTATATCTCATTCTTGTCATTTTTTTTATTTCTCATATCAGGATAATTTCAAATATATTTTTATTTATGGTTGATAAAATCATTCAAGAAATGCAATGCCAATGCCATGAACACTCAATTGAGAATATAATAAGTAATTCACAACGTGCCTATAATTTTATAACAATACGAAATGAAAACAATAATAACAAATTCTCGACATGCTCGATATTAATCATAATAAATTTCGATACTGGTGCGAAAGCAAAAAATTTATAATTCAAGTAATAGTTGAGGATGTTTCGATTCAAAATATCTTAGTCAGTATATATGACCTTTCAAATATTGAAAATACTCTTGAACGTTGGTATCGTCTACCATTTTTTGTCATTTCTCCTGAAATGAATTATACGCAAATATGATATTATTATGTTATGGAAATATGATATGAAATGAACTAATTGAGCTCAAAAATAATGATATGTATGTAAACTCTCAATAAAGAGATTGTTACTTGGTTACAAGTGTTAACCGTTTCCGTACAGAATAAGCACACCGTCTCTCGTGGTCCTAGCCAAACCACATCCAGAGAAGTAGCTGTTTGGTTGATATTCTAAAAAGTACGAAGTGTTATAGTTGGAATTATGCACTATAACAGTAAATAGGAGGGAAACCTGGAAGATGTGCCACACTAAGGCATGAAGGATTAACCTTACTAAAGATATTTTGTCCTCGAATTGATAGGACATGAAATGATGATTTGATGTGAAATAGTGAGCTCGTATATGATGATTTTGTATTTTTATGAATTATGAAGATGATTATAATGATATTTACCCCCGGGGATGATTTTCTAAAAATGGAAAATATTTGCTAGTTGTTAGACAAAGAAATGTATGGTCTAGTATTCTAACAAAAATTAAGGAATGAGCATGCGGTATTTAACAGGAGTATTTTCAATCAGTTTAATGAAGTTCAAGTGGTAAAATATTATGAAATAGTTGTCAATTTCATCATCATGAACATTGAAGTTATCGAAATAACGTAAATAAGGAAATGAAGATTTTTTTTTCAAATTGAATAAACGCCAATGTATTTGTGTAACCAGTTACACCAAAGATGAATAAATAAATCGAATAAAGTTCCGATAATATTTCATATTGAACAAAAAATAATCACATAGGCCTATGTGTCGAAATATTGTTCAAGAAGTACATGAAAGTACCAATTCTCGGACGTTCCATCAGTTTATTCAAGCTGCTAACAATGAGTTGTCAGATGAATATCCTTTTAAATCTTACGGATTGGACCTGGAATGTCAAAAATGATCAATATGTGAGTATGAAATAACATGGTGACATTTTCGATAATATATTCATCAAATAGCAAATTTTTTTTCATGAAATTTTCCAACGAGAAGGCACGTTGGTTTGTTCACATGACACAAGTTAATTTTTTACCATTATTTCAATTCATGCGCTTGTATTTGAATAACTTTCAATTGGCAGAACTAGCAATTAACCGAATAGAAACCTATAAAGAATTCCTCATAATTTTGCATAGGAAAAAAAAATATATGCAAGTAGGTATAGGTAGGTAACTCATAATTTATTTTTTATTTATTCAATCAATAATTTAATTCTTCATGTACGAAACTATTTGCAATATTTTTTTCCTCAAAAGGAAACACGCAGTTCAAATTTCCCTGGAATGAACAAGAACATTTCACCTATTCTTATTTTTTTTAATATTGCTCACTAGGTCACTAGTAGTGATAAAATTAAATAGCATGCATTTTGACGAACTCGATATAGTAAATAAATATGAACTTGACACTTGATTCGTGTTGCATTATGTTGCTAGTATATTATTTCTGATTTATTAATAGGTATAATAATTAATCAAGTTCTGAATAACTCGATAGGAATCTTGTAAATATGAATATGAACTTAGATGAATATAATCATAATCTTAGAGTAGATATCTGAGAAGTTATTTTCTTTTTTTTTTATTGAAGGCCTAATCATAGATTATTTCGAGTAAGTGGAGTTTGATTTGAAGCATAAATGTTGGTACTTTACATATACTTAATATAGGAATTCTATGAAGTTTAAATGAGGTATATGGCACATATCACGGCATCACGGCACATAGGTTAATGACTCATCAATCATTTTGAATTTTGTACATCTGACTATTTGAACTTATTATGTGATAATAATATATAGAGTGTTCAAAAAATTCCCCATTTTAATATAAATATAGTAACATAGGTATTTGACAATCAATTTTTTTTCACATGTTTCAACGAAACCACACAAAACAATGCACCCACACTGAGCACGGGAAAACAGCACGCATAATCGAATCAGACACCCAGGGGGACGCAGCCACGCAGTCAAATGGCCAAACATGGACAAACCAAGGACCCTTTGACTTTACAGCATGATTCGATGGTAGCTGCTGGGTAGCCCAAGAACAGAGAGGAGAAACGTAGGAATGCCACGAGTTGCCACAAGTTGTGGATAGCCTGAGGAACCACAGGAACGACGGAAATTCATCGTTACTCCCATGGACCAAGTGGTCTACCAGTTATCACAGCAACTGTGAAGATATCTGGCAATTCTTCTTACTCACCTGCCAACTACCTCCAAGAGACCGGCCTATACTAGAAGCCAGGCTATCTTGAATCCCAAAAGATTCCTACTTCAGAGTACCAGCCCAGAACGGAAGGAGTCCAATAATCTTTGATGCCCAAAAAGATTCCACCTGTATGCCCAGGACGAGGATACCTTTCGAGCCCAAAAAGGATCCCGCCAAAATTCCCACGACGATTGAAGGATGCCCATCAGTCGTCATTCGCTACCCCAAGAACCCAGCAGTTCCCTTCGTTCAGCTGCCAACTACCTCGAAGGACAGTCTAGGAAATCTTAAAGCCCAAAAGATTTCTTCCCAATGCCCAGGACAAGGATACCTTCGAGCCCAAAAGGATCCTGCCAAAATCCCCATGAAGATTGGTGGATGCCATGCCCAATCGTCATTCCCTACCCCCAAGCTGCCAGAAGTCCCACCGAGAAGAGTCTGATCGAAATGTTCCAGTGGAATAGCCAGTGCCGGACTAAGTTATGGTGTGGGTGTGCATTGTAGACACTAAATTTTGAATGTTTGTGGATATTTTTTTTCTGAAACTTTTTGTAATGTTGATGAATAGTTAATGTTCTCCTCGATAATTTAGGTAGGTAATAATTTCAAAACTGGGGTCCAGTTTTCTCGGAGAGAGGGGTCATGTCACGAATAGAACATACGGTATATCAGTAATTTCGAACCATGAGGGTTTTATAAACATAAAGTAAATCAAATCATCCGTTGACATTGAATTATAAAAACTGACCAAGGAACTCTCATGAGAAACGTGCATATCTAATAAAATGTTGTATATAAATATTGGATGTGAGGGTTCCGAAGTTAGTCTGGTCTGGGGCTACTCTTGACTTGACAAGAGCTCGTCGTAATGGTCATTATAATGTAAGTTGTTATTAGGTCTTTATATTCATTGTTGATTATTCATATTTGTCATCACTTCACCCATAATTTTTCATGCTATAATAAATATTGTTATGTTTGAATATATTCTCATACTTTCAGTTACCCCTAAACTATTAGTGCCTATTTGAATATTACCTCTCGCAAAATATTGAGCCAAGCAAACCCCTTATCAATCGATATGGGTGGAAACATCCCTTTCATCGAGACATGGTGGAAACACAAATCTTTTGTTGTGACAATATCCATAGGACGTCCTGTCGGAACATTCAGGACGTCCATTGGACGTTCGAATTTGGTACCGTGGACGTCTATTAGACGTCTGTGGGACGCACAAATGTCCCACGTGAGGACCAACTAGGGACGTCCTTGAGGGATGTCCCTGGGAAAACTATCGAATACCTAAATCCTGTTACGTTAAAATTTGGCATTAGTGTATTCTCTAGTATAAATAGGCAGTAGCCCAATAAATCACAACGTCTTGAGCACCTAGTATATTTCTTAGATAGGAATGAAATCATAAATGAACAAGCTGTTAGTTGTTGTCTTCAAATAGCATCATCATATCAAGGGGATACGCGATGTGAAGGTCGTCCAAACGCATCCTCTCTCGACGCAGGTCAACTTCCAACTGATTTCATTTCACATCTTGACCGCCGTGTACTGGAGATTCTCGATCGCAGTTTTTCTCGATGCGTTCTTAACTCGATATAGGTACCTGACTTGATGAATTTTTATCTGCTGTATTACTCCGTAAAAGTAGTATTCCGTATCCTGAAAACAACAAGAAAGGCTAGGTTAAAGACATGTTGTGCGATTGGATTAGAGTGGTACAAACATTTTGTAAATAATGTTTAAATATTAGTAAGTTGGGATTAGTTATGTGCTATTAATTTAGTGGAGACTCACCTGATGGTTGTGTCTATTGCTAATACTATATATAGTGTTCAGATTACTATAGGTGTTTAAGCACTAGCTATTGTTTACTTTGTTTCGCTGCTGCCTGGTATGGCAAACTTCAAGTCGAGTGAATGAAGCGGTCTACTTGTCAAACTTCGTTATATTAATTCAGGGTCATGATCGTGGAGTGAACAATCGATCAACCATCGATCAGTTGACATCATTCACATCGTTCACTATGCCAACAAGTATGTGTTCCGAGGATCAGCGCAGTGTTGCCGGATCTAAAACACAAAATTCTTTAGTTTTGTTGGTAGTTAATGTGAAAATTACCGACTACTCACCCAGCGTTTGGCTATAGGGTAGTAGGTGATGAGCTATGGGTGAGCACTGTCACCCTTGTAGCTTTGTAATTCTAAAGTATTGAATCACTAAAGCATTGCCATCTATTGGTAGTTGGCGAAACTTAGGATTGTCATTATAATTTATGTTCTGAGTGATAGTTGGCTGATTCGCATCGATAGCGACCTCTACCTAGTGGTGGAGGTAATGAGACCATTTTACAAGTGGATTTTGACAAGTAAAAATGGTGATTCGGTGTAGTCCATAAATTTTGATTTTTCACAATCATCCGTTACTGGGAGTATTATTGGACTACATATTTTACAATTTTGGGAATCGTTTGGTGCTATGGAATGCATATTTTGAGAATCAAACCAAAATTGTACTCTTGATGAGGTTTTGCAGTATCACCGTACTTGTGTCGAAACGCCATTTAATTGTGGTAGTGTTTAGCCGGGCAAATCAGTTTACAGGTATGTTTTGTTTATTTTTGGTATCTCTTCCATCTGATTGTTTGATTGAATCACGCAATTCAAATTTCCGTACTCTCATCATTATTTCCCTTATTGACAGATTGCATAAGGTTCATAATCCAGTGCTGAATGGTATATGCATGGGCTGTATAGTAAAATCAACCTTATTGAAGAGGAGCATAAGAGCGATAACAAGTTGATAGTTTGACAGTGTAAGGAGAACTTGCTGATTGTTCTACAGGGTGTCCTAGAACTCACTTAAAACCCCTTGGCCAGGGTAAGTTAATTCCTAAGTAAATTGTTCTCAATAGTTTATCACTGAGTTCAGTAAATTCAATTCATTTTGAATGATGAGGCTGATTCAGTCCACTAATGTGAATTTATTGTGTATTTATGAAATATTCCATTCATTAGGTAAACGCTCATATTTCAATACACTCTTTATTTTTCACTCGTGATATTCATTTTTCTTTAGGGATTATGCGATTGACTCCCTGCTAAGTGTAACATGGTTTCATCCATGTTATTACATTATTATTATTGATTTTGATGTCTCAGTTTTTCTATTTTGAAGACTTAGTGATTATTTTTATCCACAACTACTGTTCAATTATTGGTTTTAATGGATCATACAAATAATTATCGGTATGGTAGTTCTTACTTTAGCCAACACTATTATTATTGAACACATTTTGGTAATTTACATAAAAGTTTATTAGTTTTGGGGAGGTTATCTCCTAATTTTCTTTGAATCTTTCTACAAGATTTCATTCTTGGAGATTTGATTTTGAAATCATTATCGTTTATTTTCATTATGAATTAGTTTTGTGGGGTTGGGGTTTTGGTTCATCAATGGGTTGATGAAGGGATGATTTATTTAGGAGAGATGGTAATTCGTGTCTTCCTAAACAGGGTTTTTTTTGGAGTTTACTTTTTGGACAAGGAAAAGTTGGAGCTACAGGGTGGCCCAAGTTAGTTCGTGGGAATTCTGGTCTCGATATCTACCAGCTAGTGGAATACGAAGCAGCCCAGTCGATAGTGGCTTGGCACAGACCTCAACCAACAATATTCGAGAATCTACAGCTACAGGGTGGCCCAAATACATCATGGGACTCTTGGATCCGATTCTGTCCTTGTGGAATGCCTTACACAGAGTGGCTTCCCAACTCATATAAACTGGATAGCACGCAAGTTTTTCAATCCTATTGCTATATTGCTTAGTTGCTATTTATGAAATCTGCTTAGTGCCCGTCGTTAGCTATTGCTTCTCCTTGCAAACATTGACACTATTAGCCGTCGTTTTCATTATTTTGTTGTGCTTAGTTTTAATTTTTTTTTTCTTTCATTATCAGTCCTAACTGACAGTACTATTAAATACGCATGGTTTTTTTTGCTATGATATTAAAATGCTACTAGGCTGGTAGGATTGGCCTTTGCTACTTGCGCTTTATACCTAGCTATATATATATTTTTGTTAATCGGAAGCGGAAATTATGGATGGGTGATACTCCCTGGTGTTGGTTATTTTACCGCGCATGCGCCTGAGCTCAAGCGACGCGAACCCTGCTTATCCTTGCTTTTCCAAGCTTTGATGCATCCTCCTAATTTCTGCGCTCCCTTGCTTGCCGATGACGATTAGAATTTGTACTTATTATATTTTGATAGTTAGTGAAACCGAAGTAGACATTTTCTTGGTGACTAGTACCTATATTTTTTTGTAGTTTGGTCGTGGGTACTGCACTTCTAGCAAGAATTATGCATATTAATAGCCCATTTGTTAATAAGATATTATTCCTTGTTCTGTTTTTTTAAAGCCTATTGAGCCTATCTCTATTGAAATAAACTGATTGAAGGTTGTTCCTGTCTTTTATTATTGTGCGATTTATTTGACTTTATTGATAAATTTTGAGGTTGAATTATTCAGAATTGGGTATTGGCGTGTGGTTAAATTTATCTGGCGCCCATTTAAGATCCATTCATACATATTTTTAGAATTCAATCATACGAACCACCCCTTCTTCGGCTAGAGCTGTCGCGAATGCCCACAAATCGATCCTTGCACGTGGTAAAGATGACAATCGAGATTTGAACTTTTAAGTTAGGTCATAATCCTACAGTATTTTTCATCGAACACTATAGAGGACATCCTTAGGACATCCATAGGACAACCTATCAGCACCGCTGAGGGATATCAATTGAATGTCCATAGGATGTCCCAGGGACGTACTAATTATTCTTGAATTTGAATTTTTCTGGGTCCCTCTAGGACCAGATCTTGCATAACTGATTAGGACATCCAGTTCAAATGATGGTCCGTAGGAGGTCCCCAAAAAGTTTTCCAAAGATGTCCAATGGACATACGTGGAGGACATTGACGAGGAGTACTCATAGCCTACGAGCAATCATTCGTCGGCGAGGTGTAAGTTAACGTCCTCGCAGGGACAACATATTGAAAGTACCGACTGGGACGTCCATATAGGACGTTATATCTAGGCCATTGGAATAGTACAGTTCATGTACCAATTGGGACATCCGACGGATATCCCTAAGGGACATTCGAAGGATATCCCTAAGGGACATTCGAAGGATGTCCCTGAGGGACATTTCGATTGTTATACGATCCTGGAAATATTGAGGGCTTCTGTGCAGAGATATTTGGAGGAATGTACCATCAGGGACATTTCATGGTTGTCTAGAAGGGACATTATATAAGATCTGAAGTCATGCCAGAATATTTACTACTCGGGAAATCCGATGGATGTCCCTAACGGAACGTTCGAAATCATATCCCATCAGGGACATGCCAAGGACGTCCTTGCATGGACATTCTACAATATGTACCACGTGGGACGTCTAAGGGATGCTATTTTCAGGACATTTGAAATGATGTACCAGCTGGGACATTCCGTGGACGTCCTTGCGGACATTGCATGAGATGTACGGGATGGGACGTCCCAAGAACACTCATTTTTGGTTCGGGACATTCGGACGTGAATTGTACCAAATAAGGACGTCCCTAGGACGTTGTGTGCTATTAGGGGAGCATACTCCAGCATACCTTAGATATTTATGTGAGGTATCAATGGATTATTGCAAAAATTATTATTCTCATGGTCCCCAGCAGAATATTCAGAAAAACATAGATATTCAATTAGGGTATCTGAACATAAAAAAAAAAGAATTGTTGTTCTAAAATTGTTTTATCCGTCATTCGGTTGCCCCCTTACGAGCAACCCTCAAAAGTCTTCGAGAGTCTTTTGCGAGCAAGGAATGACGGGGGCCTTACCTTTTAACGTATGATCCCAAACACTTTCTTGGGCCATCAGAAAAATTTCTGCAGACGACGGGACTCGAACCCACGACCGGCAAGCGAATGCGGATTAGAATATGGACACTCTGTCCGCACGACTACCTGGCCACCCATTTGGAAATGAAGATTTTCAGAATCAAGTATACAATCATCAACTCTCAAGTTTAACTGACAGATGAAATAACAGGTAGATTGCTGATATTTTAAATCATTATTATTTCCTTTGTTGCAGGTTCTTATGCAGTGCAGTGCCTATAAGCGGTAGCACCGTTATATCGAGAACATTTCCAAATTTTCTCGATTGACATGAATTATGAAATAGTCGACACGATTATTTGATTAATAAAAAGATGCTTCTTTGTATAATCCATAACATATAATAATAATTTTTCTATACTTTTTATTTTATGTTGCCCCCAACCTCAATAAAATATTACAATAAGATTACATTTGTTCATTGGATATAAAATATTACTGTCCTGCATATACAATGTTACAATAACTCTGCTGGAATGATTCATTCGCGAACATCACATTCATAATATTGCTGAACGTCCATTTCAGTAGTTGCTGCTACCTTGCAGTAAGATAATGGCGATATCTGATGTAACATATTCCACATTACATTGAGATACTGCTGCAATATTGTTGAGATATTACTTTGCTTAGTGGGATTGGTTCTTTCGAAGATAATATATTGCATCCGATGCACTCGACCGTCATTATTATCATATTTGAAATATTGGTAA